AGCGAGCAAGCCGCTCATGCAAGCAACTATGGAAGCCCTGTACCCTGAAGCATTTAGCCCATAGCCGACGGAACGCTCAGGACCAAGCAGGGGACTATTCGAATCAAATTTCAATCAGCATACACAAGACTCAACAAAATTCTTGGTTCCCCTTCGCTATGCTGAGTGCTTTTACTGGGTTCTTGTTGAAATACTACTTGAAATGATCATTTCTAATCTAAAAGGGTCGGGGACCGCAGCCAGCTTCCGCGCCATCCGAAAATTATGCTATGACTATCAAGGAAGCAACGCCAGCTGCAGTAGCGACTGGGAGGCAAGCACTACATCACTACAGGTACAAATTTCCGTATGTGACGGGTCCGCTGCATGATAAAGATTGGGGAGAGACCCTCTCCTGCTGTTTTTGGCCTCCTCCCCAGTCGTCCTTCTTGGCGCCCCAGCTGTCCTCAAAAGGAACATCCGTACCGCTAACAATAAGCCCCCCTAACATACAAGACTGCATGTTCAAAATAATACCATTCTATGAGAAATATTTGCTACTAGGAGGCTCTGGGGGTTGTTTTGTTCCGAAGGGGATTAAGCAAGGGAGAAACCGGACATCAGACTGGCAATCCCTACATGTCGGGCCCCATTGGGATTGCAGCTGCTGGCACAGAGCAAAGAACATGCGTTATGACGACTTTTGGGAAGCTAGGATACTTACGCCCACACCCTGGCATGTCCCACCTCCCGTTCTTGAACCCAACACACCCTTGAGAACCGCTACATACCTGAATCCCCTAGAGCCCCACCGCTTGCAGGGCCATCATCGGAAACCCAGGCCCTGTAGGAGACGGGGATGGAACAAAGGAAGGTGTATGTGTAACTTCATAACTTGCCTAGACAGGACTTCGTGGGCAAAGCACAGCATCCTCATTGAGAACGGTGCCAACACTGGCGCACCCGAAGAGGGGACAATACTGCTGGCAATCCCTTATGTCCTGAACTCTGAGCCCTGCATGGGAGCTTCCCAGGATCATGGATCCTCTTTTGGGGTGGGTTTAGTGTCCATGTGAAGAACTAGAATATCTTCGGGCGGCTATCTAGGGCCCTGCCTCTCAAAATATCCATGTCTTGACTGCTAAACCCATTATGCGACACCCATTATGAACAAGCTGTACAAGCCTGCCACGTCCCAATTCTTGACACCAGCTATTTCATGATAACACCCCCACCCTACTATTACCATACTCTGATTCATGTTCTGGTTCCATATATGGAGGTAGAAATTGCAAGTCGGTGGGGGTGGGTGCTATAGTATGTGCGGAAAAAGCTTCCGCTCATCTTTCTTGATCGTTTCCACCACCCTAGGAGTCTTGCTCTAAGCACAACGAAAGCTCCCACTTCCAAGGCCTTCCCTGCCATCACCCACCTCGGCATCTAAGTGCACAAAAAACAGTAAAAGGATTGCAATGTTTGTCTAGAATATTTGGGAGGCCATTGTACATGAGTCTTCACTCGGAGTAATGAAAACTGAACAAGCCTTTGCATTTTGGTATCTCTCTTGCTGCGAGGGTGCCCCCAAACCTCCTACACTAGATCCTAACCCTTGACTTACATAGTCCCAATCAAAACCCCTAAGATCTCAATCGGAATCTGAAAACCAAAACCCTTGACTTTAATCCCACATGCAAAACCTCCGAAGCTTGAGGCCCACGCGTCGAAAGTTGAGACACCATCTGCCTGAACCTTACACCCTACACGCAGTACCCCAAACCACCCTAAACCCCACAGCCCTCCGCACAAGGGCAAGACCCTGTGTGGCCTGCTTGTTCCAATCGTCTTTTCCTCCACTCTTCCAGTCGTCCTGTAGGGCTAGGGATTCAGATTGTAATGCTCAATGGAAGCAAGAAAAGACAAGGTCAAACTGCTGTTGTACCTCGGCGGGCAATTTCTTGCATTTTGGTGCAGGGTGTTGGCTTGGTTCTAGGTCTAGAACCGGTTTCTTCAGCGCTTGGATAATCCGAAGTCTATTGGTTATCAGGGCAGCTGCAGCGGGCAGAGCTGGAAAGGAAAGCCGGCGTTGTGGTTGAAGGGATGGCATAGTGACTCAGGATCAAATTTTCGGGTGTTCGTCCAGTTTGTGTGATATGTATGTAAATACATGAAGCAGTCTGGAGCTTGACCGCATCGTTGTAAACTCATGCATCCACCTTACACCCCTCCTTTTGCGGGCGCCACCCCTACTCTTCTTCTTCTTCTCACAGCTTCCCCCCAAAAAAGGGAAGGATTGCGCCAACGCTGCGAGCTGGATTGTCCAATCTCCAAAGGTCCGACTAATCTTCTCTCTCTTTCTCTCTCCGCCGTCTCCCGCTTTCACTCCCCCTCTCTCTCTCTCTCTTTCTATCTCTCTCCTTCAAAAAGGCATGAAGGCTCTCACCCTGTGCCGTGGTATTCATCTCTCATACGTGAGCTTTGTAATTGCTGGATCGTCCTTGCCGCCGCTCTTCCAATCGTCTTTTCCTCCACTCTTCCAATCGTCCTGTAGGGTTAGTGGTTCATATTGTAATGCTTAGCGGAAGTTAGGCAAAAAGGCAAGGTCAACGTGTTGAGCATTGGCGGGCAAGTTTTTTCATTTTGGTGCCGGGTGTGGCTTGGTTCTAGGCTAGGGCTTTAGAACCAGCTTCTTTAGCACTTACTGCAAACTTGACTCAGGATCAAGTTTGCGGTTGTTCAGCTAGTTCGTGTTCTATGTCCATACATGTTGTAGTCTAGAGCTTGGCCAAGCTACTGTAAAATCGTTGGTTCCCCAGACAGCCCTCCTTTTGCGAGCACTACTCGTGCAAACCTGGGCCGTGGAATTCATAGGTGAGCTTTCTACTGGATCGTCCTTGCCGCCGCTCTTCCAATCGTCTTTTCCTCCACTCTTCCAGTCGTCCTGTAGGGCTAGGGGTTCAGATTATAATGTTGACTGGAAGCAAGAAAAGACAAGGTCAAACTGCTGTTGTACCTCGGCGAGCAAGTTTTTGCGTTTTGGTGCCGGGTGTGGCTTGGTTCTAGGTCTAGAACCGGTTTCTTCAGCGCTTGGATAATCCGAAGTCTATTGGTTATCAGGGCAGCTGCAGTGGGCACAGCTGGAAAGGAAAGCCGGCGTTGTGGTTGAAGGGCCTGCATAATGAGGCATAATGACTCAGGATCAAGTTTGCTGTTGTTCGGCTAGTTCGTGTTCGATGTACATACATGTCGTAGTCTGGAGCCCGGCCAAGCTACTGTGAAATCGTTGGTTCGCCAGACAGCCCTCCTTCTGCGAGCACTACTCGTGCAAACCTGGGCCGTGGAATTCATAGGTGAGCTTTCTACTGCATCGTCCTTGCCGCCGCTCTTCCAATCGTCTTTTCCTCCACTCTTCCAATCCTGCTTTGCGGGATCCCGACTGTGCTCATGTTCAAGCAGGATATGCTTGCAAGGATTCTGAGCTTGTTTACCCCCGCGTTTGCTGAAAGAAGGTCTTGTGATGCAACTTATGTGTTCCAGATCGATTTAAGTAAATCCTCCTCGCCATACTTAAACAGGGAGCCAGTGGATCTCATGTGGTTTCGATGTTGGCCCTAGGCCGAGCCCGAAATCCCCTCTAAACGGGACTTAGACGATCAAGATCACGACATCCATGAAGAGTTCAGAGGTATGTGGGATTGCATACCTGGACAAACCCAACGATGCTGCATGGGCTCCCACTAAACCCCAAACACAGCCATAGCGCCTTTCAACTTGTCCTTTGACCTTGCTGAGTTCCAAAGCCTCAAAAGAAGGCTATCTAAACACCATTGCTGAGTTCCAAAGCCTCAGAAGAAGGCTATCTAAACACCATTTGTAGTTGGCCCAGCTTGATGACATGAGGCAGCCGATGCTCCTCTTTCTTCTCCCAGGACTTGTTGTCATTCCAGCCCCCGCCCTTGTCTTTGGACCACTTGTCGTTTTCGGAGTCCCTCAAAGGCCAAGACTTCAACTTTGGGTGTAGGAAATTTGGGCGCTGACATTGGGGCAACCATTTGATAACTTGAGGATTGCATGTCTTGGCCGTAGTCGAAGATTGAAAACATACACTGGGCACATGCTGACCCCCTGCTTTCAGGGGCCCATCGCATTGTCAGCCCTGTGTCTCAGATCTACGAGCCCAGCTCCTTAGTTTAAAGCCCTAACCCCATACGAGCTACAATGCCGAACAAGTGAGTTAGAGCTTAGCAGATGATGAAAGCCTTGACGGCACTCACACATCCAAACTTTCAATGCAGACAACTGCTGAATTCTTCCAAGCTGCTGGTTAGAGTCCCACTTCTTCTTGCCTGGGTGTTACAGCCAGACTGCGGAGTCTTCAGGCTCTGCGAAAATTATTGCGCGTCTTTACACGCGTCCACTGGTTTCAACAATGGCGCGTGTTGCTACACAGAGCAGACCTCTATGCTGAGGAATGTCATCCAGTGACCAGCAACTACTTCGTGCAGCCTCCCATACTTGGCCGAAGGGCCCAGCCAGCCCTCAACAAGTATACCCGCCACCACACGATCCTTTAGGATCATCTTGTGCAGGGTCCTAAGTACAAGCAATCCTTGACAAAAGCCCAAGCCCGAATTCTACAGACGGAGGTCTAAGTGAAAAGGACAGCAGGGGAGGGTCCGTGCTTGAAACAACGCAGAATCAAGGGATCCCACTTGCAATATCTCTGGACCTTGCATTCTGCTTTTTGGGCCCCAACACATTGCCAGCAAACAGACCCTAAATCCTAAACACCTAAACCCTAGACAGGGGATTAGGGCACTGTTCTAGGGCAGCTGGCTGTGCCCAGACCTGAAATACCAAGAAAACCTGGCCTCCTCACCCTGCGATAAACTTACCGGCAGCGGGGGTCGTGAATATGGATAATGGTATAGGGGGGAGATTTGAACATTTTTATAGGGCTATTGAAATTGGAAAGATCCGCACCCCCAATCCCACTTCAGCACGAGCTGAACAGTCCGAGATGCCGTTGTCCCAGGAAGAGGCACTGCCCTTGCCAACGTTGGCATGGAATGAAGGAAAAAAAACACGGAAAGCACTACTTTAATGCGGACTACGCTGGCTGCGATCCATTTTTTGCATCCCCTGCCAGCCAACAGAAAGTTTGGAGCTTCGTTGCATTGTTGCCTTCTTAGGAGTCTTCTTCAACAGCTTGGGGATTTCCTTTTGGAACCCACTGTACGTGTGTTGCACAATACGGAATGGCCCGTGATCCACCCAGGCTCAAGAGAAAGAATGTGTGTGGGCGCCAGTGGTTTCATTGGGACTTTGTATAGGGCGGGATGGGCCACACAACAAGCGCATATGTATCACCAGGCAGGCGGAGAGTTGGTGTCTCTCGGCATCTGCAGATGGTCAGTGTAGAGAAAGGAAAAGTAGTGAAGGGTATTGCAGCCATGGCTGTTTATAACTGCCTTCTAAATTTCGCTCAAACAAACTGATCTTGCAAGGGGTAGAGTATGGAGCGTACCCTTCATCAAGTATCTAGCTAACCAAAGGGCCTGCAAAACAGTCATGGCTCGTTGCGTCACCAATGTCCCCAAATGGTGGGGGCTTGGCCTTCACGCAGCTGCCTAGATAATGAGCATCAAGCTGCGGAGAGTTGATCGTGTACAATGGGATTATACTTAAGAGCCTGAGATAACTATAGGTACGCGGTAACACTGATCTACTCAATTTGCTGCCCCGCGCTCTGTTAAAACTGCATGCATTACGCACGCGCAGCGCGAGTCCTTGTTGTCCCAGTCGTTCTTGTTCTCCTTTTCCCATCCACCACCTGCTGGATTTGAGTCGAGGATGGAATAGTTTTATGATGTTTTATGGGACTTCTCGCCAAAGGCCAATAATTCATGAGGCCTGTAAGAAGGGTTCTTGCTCTAAGTGAGGAGTCTGAGAGTGTTTGCAACCTGGTCCAAAGTGCTTCGGCTTAAGCTCTTGATGCTCTCTGGCCCGCCCTCCGCGAAAGAAGCGGCTGATTTGGGTGGGCACGAAGGTAAATAATGAAGTTAGAGCTTGGAGATGAGAGTTCAGCAGGTATCCTAGGCCCTAGGCGACAATCCAAATGGGGCAATGAGTCCTGAACAGCAGAGATACCGCTGGGCCAGCAAAGCTGGAGACCATCAAGGGTGTCCGCACCTGGCTTCTCTCTAAAACACAACTGAGCTCTTACCAACAGCTCGGCTCCTGCTACGTCCTACACCTTGAACCCGCCCAGGATGAGGGTTACAAGCTTCAAGTAATCATAAATAGTTATCAGCTTGCGAATTGGGTAGCCTGAGCACAAAACCCAAAATGTGGTTTCGCCGCGTACTTACCCCTAAACCCCGAAGCAAAAGGGACGCGTAATTGTTATGTGGAGCAAAAAGTCCGAGATAAGCGGCTACTTTGTAGGGAAGGCAATAGTAGCACTCTACAGGTGACAAAGATATCCCATTTCAACAGCAACCATCAAAACCTAAACCCTAAACAAACCTAAACCCTAAACCCCAAGCCCTAAACCCTAAACCTTGCCATTCTAAATCCCGATCCCCAACTCGGAGCCTGAGTTTCCCTTGTCCCAATTCTTGTCATTCCAGTCGTTCCTGAGATGAAATGGGCCATACCTACACCATGCTTTCAGCCATTCGGCAACTCTGAAGTTGTTGTAAGGATATGGGTGCCCAATGGGGCAAAATTATGGTTCTATTGGTGTCATACTGGGATACATAGATGGAAAATCAAATGGAAACTCCTAGGAAGGGTTTAACTGAGACAATATTACCCCTCACGTTGGCACACATTGTGACTAATGACTCAAATGCAAGGACCAGCGCCGCTCAGCTCAGCATGTGTGGGCTAAACCCCTGAAGATATTTTCAGCCTGAACCCTGAAGTCCTAAATCCTCAGACCCTAAGCCCATCAGGGGACTTGGCAAGTAGGTGACTAGTGGGGATAAGTGGCCTTGTTGTTTGGCTTATAGGAGGTCATAGGTCATCAGTATACTTACTGAGTCCCCTGACCTCCCCTGTGGGTCCACGTGCATCATGAGTTTCGCCAGATTGCCCCAATTTAGACCCCAGTAAACGACAACCCTCGTCACAGGGACTCCCGAAAAATTGGCCCTAATTCGGAAACCCCCATGGTTGGAATTCGGTATAAGCCTCAGCTAAGCTTATCTGAGAATTAGACTGCTCTAGAAGGGCACGACATGTAGCTGCTTACCACTTTGGGGTCTCTGCTTCCTGCGCAGGCTATGACGTCCCAGGCGTGTCTAATCTGGAGAGGATTGTCCAGCTAAAGGTCTGACATCGGCTTTGCTGCTTTCACTTCACATGGGTCCACTGCGAAGCCTAAAAACGGCTCACAAATTGACTGCTGTCTTTTTGGGCAGCTCCAAGGACAAAATCTTAGCCTTGGACACCCGAAGCCTTTACTGCGCGGAATGCTTGTATCCATCAACCAAAAGCAAGCTAGAATCCGCATGCATCTATCTTTATGACTGTCGGGAATAGATCCGCCAAAGAAGATATTCAAGAGGACTGCAGGCATACAAGCTCTAAACGCATGGCCCTTTTCTGGCTAAGAGCTTGGTGAGCCCCAGAGCCTGAAGGCCCTAAACTGCACACCCACCCTCCCCCCAAGAAAAAAAAAATACACACACAAGCGCACACTTTCACACACACAAAAGGAAGAACATTGGTGTCTGAATAGGTCAGCGTCTTTTTGTCTTGACCCCAGGATCCTCCGCAGTTGGCGATTAGGGAGTAGACAGGTTGTTGTACCATCAGGTCTTACCAGAAATTTCAGTTCCCCTCAATTACGAACAACCACATCTTGAGCGTTATACATGATTTAGGGAGACTCGGGGAGTTGGAAGTTATGCGCAAGGTGTAAGGCGAGGTTGCACCCCGAAGTAGACAGAATATAGAACTAAGCCAAACTATGACGTGTTCCAGTATCCTGTTTAAACCATGAGTCATAAGGACCATGCCTGTGCTGTGCATTTTAGAGCTCCAAGGAGGCGGGACGATGGGAAGGATCCTTGCAAAGGCAACTCAAACCCCTCAACAAATTGAACACCGGTGATGGTTTTTCGGGACAGCTACATTGCCCATGACAAGACATGGTGCCACTGCGTACTGATCAGACATGCTTCGAACAGATCGACCGGGAAGGGCAGTTCAATCACGGACAGCACGTCTATTTTCGAGAGACCCGCTAGACGGACTGAAAAAGTCCGTAGCCAAAGGCTATTTATTTCTTCTGCTTGCCTCACTCACTCCTTCCTTTACGCCTTAGTCCATCTGCTCCTGCGACCTATACAAGAACCTTTTTCCCTTCGCCGACGGGCAACCTGGAGTCCAGAATAACCGGAATCCTGGACGGGAACCCGAAGGACTTGCCGTAGCAGAAACATGCTGGGAATCCTCCAAGGTAAAAACATTAACCCTGCAGTCTTAGGGGAGGCTCCGCTAAACCCCTGTAGACGCCTCAGCCCTGAATCAAGGTTCCTAACTCAAGGATTCTGGTGCTGTACCCCAAAGATGGCACCAAAGATCGTGCCCCTAAACGGTTCCCCAACTTTAGGCCCAATATTGCCCTTCTTTGCACTAATGGATGGAACCCCCTGGACTTCCGGACTTCCTCGAAAGGATCCTGAAACCCCAGTTACACCCTGAAACCCTAGACTGAGAGCCCTTTGCGGCCTTTGTCACTGGACCAATCATCCTTTTGCTTCCTGCAAGAATGGCTATATTTTGGGGCATGCTATCATCGGAAAAACTGCATGATTCCTTGCAGGTTCCCCAGAAAACATCATATGAAGGAGCTACCAAGGTATTGCTGATGCTGCGGATGAGGTGTATGTTGGGTCGTGTTTTCGGCGCCATTGTCTGGGAGTATAAAATTGAGGGAATTGGGCAGATCCACGGCTCGAGCGTTCTCCCGCATGTCTGGAGAAGGCAGCGCTGAATCTCTAAATGGAAGTCCAACACACATGAAAGTACATACAGACATGAATATATGCTCACATGTGAGGGTTTGCAACGCTTATATAAATACCTATATAATGTAAGAAATCTAGATATATACGTATGTGTATGGATGCACGTGTATATGCGTACGTGCGTACGTACGTAAGTAGGTGTATGTATGCATGCATGTATGTACATGTGCATCTGTAGGTGTACCTTATTTATATGTAAGTACCTTTGCGTGAGTAGAGTTGATTCGTAGAAAAAGAAATGTTGCATATAGAAGTATGTAGAGCAGATGCATCCTACAAATGCATACACACTTGAGTTTACATGGCCACGAACTCATGGCACTCCCTCTGATGAACTGATGTTCACGACTCACGTGGACTCATGTTCATTCTCTATAGCTGTCCATCCTAAGCCTGACTGGTTTGGGTATTTTTGGGTGTAGGGCTTAGGCAATGCCGCCGCGGTGCTTGTTGTCCCAGCTCTGGTCACCCTCATCCTCCCACTTGCGCTTTTTATCCTCAAGGGGCTTGACTGTGTTTAGGTTTGGAGTTTAGGGTGTAAGGGGCTTCAGGGTTCAAGGCTCAAGGTTCAGTGAGAGAGCGCTAAATTAAAAGTACTTCCACCGTACAATCATGCAGCGAGCCCTACAGGACCGCATCTAGGACTGAAGCCCCATTGCTTTAGCAACACCAGCAATGACAATCATGAAGCTGATTCGCAAAAGCATGCAAGTAACAGAACTGTACTCTGCGCAGCTAGGATCCTGCTCCGCACTTTTTGGATTCCATCAGCTTGGGGGAACCATCCTGTAAGTGCAAGGCCCGCCAGGGCCCACATAAACGATTCTCCGAACGCTGGCCCCTAAATCTGAGGTGCAAAATTCAAAGCCTTGGTGCCACCACTGAACTACTCTAGAACTTACCATGCAAGCCTTCCTAGAAGAAACAGAAGGCCGCAGATAAATGGACATCAACGAGTCAATGGAATCTTAGCACACTTAGATGCCTCGTCAGCTCCATATTTGAAATCCCAAAGCTGAAGATACGCCAAAACCAGAAACGTCTGCCCGGCCGGGGAGAACTTGATCCGCGAGTACCAGAGTCTAAGCTGGAACACAAAACCCTGAGCTCCCACCCCCCAAGCTGCTAATTGTCCTGAAGCCTATGAAGAAGCCTATGAAGAACTCCATGATCTCCACAATTACAAAGCAGAAGCCCAAACACCACATCCTGAACTGCTGAGACTCCGACTTAAAGCCTGTACCGCCCTACATCTAAGTCCGCCACGTCATTCCAGCTTTCATTCTGGTCATCACCCTTCTGGTCGTCTGCCTTCCACAAAACCCAAACTTTGATCAGGGGGTTAGGATTTAGGTTGACAAGATTGGGCTTGTTGCGATAATTTTACGAGCCACTGCAGGGAGAAGAACGGCATTTTGCGGGTTATGACAGAGAGTTCTACTTGCGAAGTTCAACAATTCCCATGCAAGCTGGAGCTGGGAGCGGTCTGGAGGTTTGGCGGGGCTGGAGGGATTGGGGTATGGTTAACTTTTCTAGCACTAGAGAATCTATTTCAGGATGGTGCTCCTCCACTTACAACTACCCATCAGGCTCCATAAGCCCTAAACCATGAACCCTACACCCTCAAACCATATACCCTGAACTTGGCAATCCTCAGCTCCCCCAGCAAACAACAACAAAGCGTCTCTTGAGTATCTTCCCAATGACAGCCATCAAAGCTATGTCCAAATCCTACATTAAGGTGATATGGGAGTTTCCAGACAAAGGGAGAGGTCCACTGGGGACATTGGGACATATGGGCATTACAAGGGAGCACAGTCTCCCCGACTAAGGACCTTTACTGTTCTCGAGAAACTCAAGATCCTCTCTGAGAGTATTGAGCACGAAATAATTCGCTCTTATCAAATGTTCCCTGCAAATTCCTTTGGAGGTACTGAAAAAAACCGTGGCCCCGCAGGGGACTTGGATGCATGGGGCTTACAAACAAATTATTGGGCTCCGTAATAAGGATTGTCTAGAGGTAAATGTTGAGAAGCTCCCATTTGGCTTCTTGGAAGTCACGCGTGGCTGGTCCAAGGATAGCCTGCGGATATGGGATGCTCTCTTGATTATGTGGGTTGTTCCCCAAATTATGGGCCCCTTTGGGTTATAGGTTATTTTACGGCACCTAACAGTTAGGGGTACCAAAATGGGACCTTAATTTTGTGAACTACCCGTGAGAGCCTGGGCTGTGTGCTGGGTAGCCCTAGGGCACAGCCATCCCGTCTGGGATGTAGAATGACTCTCATAATTTGAAACTGCCCATTTCCTCCACTACCCACCAAGTTTGCGGCAAGCGGGCCCCCAAAAAGGTACCCTAACTTTGGGAAACCCTCATATGGGCCACCCCAACAACTATCCTGACTGCTGAGAATTCTCAACGCTAGAGCCCTCAACCTGGATGCCGGCCCTAAGCCCTAACCCCTAAACCCTCAGCCTTGAACACCTTCAGCCCTAAAGCTGGGTTCCTCTTGAAATACTATCAAAAATGATATTTGTTAATCTGTATTGGACCGAGGTATATATATCTATATAAATGTAAGATGTTTTTCAACAAGAACCCAGAAACCCTCATAAATCCTAGGGCCGAGAACTTGCTTATGCCAAGCCTCGGTCCCGGAGTCCTGCACCCGAGCTCTCATCTAAAGGCGGCATAGAAAATCTTCCCTGGACTATAAAGGGATTGTATCGGGGTATTACCTACATGACTACTATGTATGGCTGAAGTTTAAGGTTTAGGGATATTACCCCCAAGATTGAAGAATCACTTAGAGAAGCAAATGGAAGATGAAATGGAAACTCGGCTCTCAAAGCCTCGGCGGATAATCCCTAAAAGGGACCCCCCAATATCCTCTTATATATCCCTGGGGTCCCTCGGCCATCCCTATTTTGAGAAACTCCCCCGATCACTCTTCGTGAACGGCCTGCCAGGCTTCCTCCTCTGGTGGGGGCTCCACATCCTGGATGGGGCAAGGGACCAGGGTTTAGGGCTTCAGGGCTTTGAGGTTTAGGGTTTGAAAATCCACCACTTGTGGTTTAGGTTTTTCGGGCCTCACGGCGTAGCTAGGTTTAAGGTAGGTTTAAGGGCTGGAGGAGTTGGGGATTGGGGTTTAGGCTTTGGGGCTATGGGGTCGAGGTCTCGGTGGTAGAAGTTAAAGATTAGTGTTTGGGATTTGAGGTTTCAGCTTGCATGGAAAGAAGGGAACATGGCTCCAGGAGTCGGATTCATTGCTTAGGGGTGGGTCTGAGCAAGAGAGTTAGTTTACAGAGCGATGCGTAGAGTTCTACAAGACGTGGAGATCATGGCTTCGGGTACAGGCTTTGCGTAAGAGGGGGCGCACGGGCTTTACCTTGGGATGGAAGGCTTTGGGCTGCAATAAGAGTTTCGAACCATGTGCACCTTGATTGATATGATGAGGATTGGTGCAGTTGTTTCTGGCGAGCCTGAAATTGGAACACATCTTCTTCCACATGCGGTTCTGTTATTCTTTGCACTGTAAGCTGCTTTCTAACCACCTGGGCCCATGAAAGTGGCTATGGAGCTTAGGGCCTGAGAAGTTAAACGCTCCGTTGGAGCTTGTTGCGGTTGCTGCCAAGAATCCTGCGTGACCTTAAGTATGTTACGGATCGTGGCATTCTAGTATACTGAGGTCGTGTGGACATGGTTACCTGCGAAATAGATGTACTAATCTGCATTATGTAGCAGTTGTGCTGGGAACATGTTCGGAGGCGCTCGTCACACGAGTCACTGGTGAATCGGACCTAGAAGGGCATGAAAAATATCTGGTAGTTTACCTGGACTTTAAGGAAGGCGGGGGAGTGATCCCCATAATGACTCCTACATAATCAGATACGCGCCCCGGTTCCCGGTTCCAGAATCAATAGCAGCAAGGAACAGTCGTTCATCGGGCCCTGCGAGTAACACACCTAGGGTGGCTAGACTTAGCAGTAAATAGGTTAACTACAAAGCTACAGGTACCTGGGACTATTGGTAGCTTCCTAAACTTGGCAGTTTCCAAAACCAGGGAGACGCAAAATTGACCCCAACATACTGCAATCCGTTCGTGTGGACCTTAAAAGAAGGGAATTCTGAATTTGAGGAAAACTCTACTTCGAAGTCCCCAAGAGCGAAGCTAAGTCCTACATCGCGAGCTGAATAGGGAGCGCCAAGACATGTTTGAAGCAGCCGTAGGATCAACTGTAGAGCTCAGGGTGAAATGGTTCAAGGTCAAGGGTTCAGAGTTTAGGGGCTATGTATCGGAGAATCAAATGGATCAAAGGGGGTTACACTTGGCCAAGGAAGATTCAAGTGGAAAAGACCATGGACAATGACATGGCAAGAGGGAATGTCATGGCGAATGACATGAAAAAGGCACAACAAATGAAATGGAAACTGGAATGATGCAGGGGAGTTCGCGTTCAGGGATCGAGCCTCTCCTCTCGTAGGCAATTGTCAAACATTTAAATCTTAGAAGTCTAGCCCTTCTGACCGAACCAACATGCGACGTCATACTTCCAAGTATTTCAGACACAAATAGAAGCCGGAAAATTACCACAATAATATTTCGAATGAGTCTTTAACCATAGTACTGGAAATCATTGAGGCCCTAGGGCTAGCCTATGTTCTCAGACCTAGCCTTCGAATCCTGAAGCCACTCCCACTACCTCAAGGTAGAGGCCTGAGAATTCCCAACACTCCCCTATAATCCTCATGAAACTATATGAGCTACTGTCTAAACTCCTAGTATCCCCCTCAATAACCTGTATAGTGGTCCTATATAATCCATTATATAATCCTCTTTAAAGAATTTAGACTATAGCTCATATTACAACATAACCCAAAACCCTGGTCTAATGATATTGCATCCTACAGTAAACCTCAACACGCCCAGCGTCTTGCAACTCTCGGATGGACTCCATAGCCTGAGCATCGAACCACACATGCGAAATCAAGGAATGACATGAAAACTGCTGTTGTATCAAGGATGATATGGACAGTGGCTACCAGAAGCATCTAGCCTATAATAAGTATACGTGGGATATCTAGCTGTCTTTGTTGCTTTCCAAGCTATGGAAGACCTATCCTCGGAAGGGATAACTAACAAATGCCCATCACTTTGAGAAAGCTCCACATCTTGAACAGTTGACGGCTCATGCTTGAGGGGCCTGTGTAAGGTTTGAATTTATGGGTGCCAGTGATGGTGATGGGACAGCAGTTAGAACTCCTAAATTAGGCTCTTCATCAGACATCTTGCAATGCCAGAAAATACCACCACACGGCCCTTGCCCTTCTTTGGAGCCAGGATTGGATTCTTAACAAGCCAAGATCACAGCCTCAACCCTAAACCCTTGCTCTGGGGAGCCCTTTCTTCAGATTCATGGGCTGTAGCCCGCATAAAAGAAAATCAAATTGAAAACAAAATGAAGACTAGGGTTGATGTAGTTTATATACGGCCTTTCTGGGCTTGAGTATGCACATAAATATTATACATACATATCTATATAGAATAATTTGTTATATGTTTTTGTGCTTATGCAATTTTGTGGGATATATATACACATATGCATATTGGTGGTCTATGAGCCTAGGGATAAATCTATCACAATCGCATCCGCGGGGCAGAGCTCCGACGCTCTGGATCCCAGCCTTCTTACCAGGATTTAAGGTTTAGGCTTTGGAGTCTAGGAGTGTAGGATTGAGACTTTGGGGTTCAGCAGTGTAGGGCTTGGGGTTCCAAAGCAGTTTTTGCGAGAGTCCAGGCAGGCTGTGTGCACCTAATTTGCTTGAGCATATCTACGAAATAACGCAGACTTTGCCGGATGAATGCCGCTTGTATTCTGATGCTGTCAACTTAAGTTACTAGCTTGAAGGCCTCTCAGTTTTAAGAATGCAAGATTTAAGGTTTGGTGTTTTTGGGGCTTCGGATTTAAAAATCCTGTTCAGGTTTCGACGTCTGGGTTTTAAGGGAGGAAAGGCTGCGGGCCTTTGGAAGGGAACTCATGTTATTCAGAAGGTGGAGCAGGGAAGGCTCCCATTGTGGTATACTCCCATTGAGGTATACTTTAACATATGGTAGTTTCGCAAAATTAAGGTACCCCAATATAGGCCCCAATATACTATAGTCCTTATTATAGGGACCCCAAAAAAGGTACCCCTAATTTTGAGAAACCCCCATATTGAGAATATGCCACGCCAACAAACCGAAATGGCAACAAAAGTCCTGTCATTCGTGAAGTGTGCAATTGGGAGTGCCGACTGAAACTTACAAGGCACGGGCGCATCTTCCATGCCACAATCCCATCCCCATGCGGCAACTCATCGCATGACTCAAGGAACTTCAGGGACCCAATCCCTGTTTGGGCGTAGGAAATTGAATCTTTTGGACAAAAGTGAACTAAATGATGCAATTAGACGAAGACAGTTAGGGGTGCAGCAGCTAGGAGTACACAGCAAATGCGAGGATCCATGATCAGGCTTTATGATGATAGGGGTGCAAATGGGCGCTCCTCAGTTGAATCCACAAATATCCCGCGGGTTTAAGTGTGCCCTAGTTCGAGGAACCCTGGAGACTGGGCGCTCGGCCGAGCACGTTCAGGCGTACACTGTCCTCCACACCGACGGTCGCACCGTCGTCGAAGAATGTCACAACAGCGTGCTTATCAGCAACCTGAGCGGCTCTTGTTTGCTCCCTGAGCTTAGGGTTTGTCAACGAAAGCTTTGGGAGAGGAGGGTTGAGGGGTGGTCTAGGGAGGAGGCTTGTTCCACAGATTGCGTTGTGACAGTGCCTACAGCATATAGAGTGATCTCTCAATGCGGCAGCAAAACTCCTGCTTCATTTGGTTTTAAGACTACGGCAAAACAAACCCTGCCATGATCAGAGGCTTGTGCTCTGCAAACATGCTGACATGGCAGTGCAGCCCTAATGTAGAGCTCCAAAATCACATACCGAAGGTGCACTCTGCCAGATTTTCCGGTACAAGCAGCTCATACCCTAGGGTGGTCCTGGAACTATGCGCAGCATGGACTACAGCATATACACACCCTCAAGACCCCAGTATTCGCTTCGCCTGACCGGCTTGCAAGGGCCGGTGCTGTGATGGAGGGCAACCTTTCGTGGCCTACTGCAGCGTCAAATCCTCAAGCACGAGGCTACACGGGGATTTGCAAGAAATCGGGGTCCTTTTTGGGGGACCCTGCCCCAACACTGAATCGAGGCCAGGACGGTGTTCAAAACCTGGACCGGTAGATTCTTCTGCTTCTCCTGCAGTTGCATATGCAGGGGGGGAGGTCTTGGTGAATAGGATTGAAGTTGGGTGAAAGGAACGGTGTTCAGGATTTAGGGATTTCATGAGAAAGTTGCAACTCCTTTTTGAAAAGCTCTTCGAAGCGGTTGAGCAGGTTTTGCGGCTTACAAGCGTCTGCGATGATTCCAACTTTTGCTTGTCCACCCTAATCCCTCACGCCTTACGCAAACCTCAAAGGCTCAACTTGAATCGGAGATATCTTTGTCATACCCAGGCATCATGGAAATTCGTTGAAGCCAGGACACCTGACTGCTGCGAGGACCAGGATAGTTATGACTTGGAAGGTAAGGGAGACCTAAGCTGTACACATAAACGTCCCCAGTTGTCGGTATTCATTACCCTACTTACCAAGCCCCTTCCTGACCCTCCAGGCAGGAATGATCCCCATAAATCTACGGTTCCCACTTCATTTTCAATTTGATTTTCAATTTGCTTCTCCATAAATGGGGGTAATGTCCTATGTAAACAGTACAGTAAAGACCACGGGGTTGAACCCGGAAGCAGGAGGAGTCATACGATTTCGCATGTCAAGCCTGTGGTGTAGTGGGATACTGATGTTACAGCTTTCTGGCCCCTCCTGTTCTGCACTGTACTTATTCTGAATGCGGTAACTATATTCCAGGGAGTTACAACTCATCTGGATCTGCATTGAAATGGGTAAGTAGAACAACCTTGAACCTCAACCCCTGAACCCTAAATCCCCTCGCTTACTGCTCTGCCTTTGCCAGGTTCAATCGCAAGTACTCCAACAAGCCAAATCTTGCGAAGTAGTGTGTTGGCTCAATTAGGAGGACATGGCTTTCAGGTCGAGTGTAGCACATACTTAACAAAAACAGTGCTAAGAATACAGCTTCTGAATCATGGCTTCAGGCCCCAGACCCCTATTCTGATCCTTGTCGATAAACAAGTTGGAGACGTAGATGTCCTCGATAGAATCCACCTGGCGACAGGCAACGCATCTCGCTTCTGGAATTTTTCCTCGTTCCAACACTGGCCACGTCCACATTTAGAAAAGTGACACAGTGAGGATGGTTGATCCAAAAGAGGAGAGAAGCCAATCTCCAACCTGAGACTCCGAGGCCCTCCATCCAAAACCCTTTACCTTAACCCAAACTCCTGTGAACATTCCTGGTACTGATGATGGTAAGTAAACTTTCCGGAATCCATGAGGTACATCCTAAAAACCCAATATGTGGACACTTCTTCCTGCATAAAGGGGTATCTTCGGGTACTGCCTCCATCCACTAACAGACGATGAGAGCACCACTAAGGGCTGTATACACCTAAGCTTCCCACTGTCCAGCTGTTAGTGGATGGAGGCACTACCCAACGCAAACCCTTATCTCTCGACCTTGAAACACCGAACCTAATTAAATCCCAAGCCTAAGATTTGAAACCCTCGGCTCCGAACCCAAAATCTGAAATGCCAAATCGCAAACGCCAAGCCAAGCCCTAAAACCCTTAACCACAGCAAACCGAAAACACAAAGCCAAAACTCCTCAACCACTGTAAACCCTAAACCCCACACCATCCCCAAACCGTATATAGCCCTGTATACCCTTCTGCATCCCGTGACTCCTTTGTAAGTAAGCCCCCTATCCCACAAAAGACCTCTCTCACTGGCCTCGGCGACCACCTGCGCCTCCGAGGAGACCAAAGTACTGGCAAGGTTAGTGTCAGTCAGGAAGGGCCTGCTCCAGAGAGATCTGCTCAGAGGGTCCATATAAGAGGGATGTATAGGGATGTAAAGAAATGGAAGCTATTCTGTAGGGTTTCAAGGGACAGTAAGAAAGATCTGCGTTTAGGCAAGGGATGGAGGACTGGAAAAGGAAATGCAAAACTAAAATAATATTGGATCCCTGTAAAAGCGTTCTATGGGGCCAAATAGTGTATCCCTTTAAAAGGCTTACATGGGGTCAAATCGGGTTTAGAAGAAAGCTCAGCGTGGGAGATCTGATCGGAGGGCCCAAGTTCATAGAGGATCAGATTTACAAAGAAAATGAAATTGAAATATGGAATGTGCCTGGGTGTGGGGTTTAGGGTTCAGGGTGGCAGTGTCAGAAGAGCTTAGAAAGCCATGGAGGAAGGGAAAACAACATGGAGACTTTTGTCTAAACTCCTAGTATGATATCCCCCTAAATAACCGCCTACAAGACTCCGCTATATAACCACCTAGAATTTATAACACTCGTTTAATTAAGGAGTTTGGACTATAGCTCGCATGGAGACTATATTTGATCACTATAGCTGTAGGGAGGGTTCCCAAAATTACAAAGCCCCAAAGTTACATGAGCTGTAGTCTAAACTCCTAGCATCCCCTTAATCAGCCCTATAATAGTCCCCTATATAATCCCCTATATAACCCCCTTTCAAGAAGTTTGGACTATAGCTCACATGGAACCCCATTTCAGCACCTTGTAGGGCTAAGATTTTCGGGCTTAGGGCCATCTACGCCCCTTTTCGATGGACAGCCATCCCGTCCGGCGTTAAAACCGTGGAGGCTACCAACTTGTGTGGGGGCCCAATGATGAGGACTACAGCATTTTGGAGTCAATATTGGGGTCCCCTTAGTCAACAAAACTCCCAGAAAGCTGTAAGCCATGAAATTCCTGCCCGCCCCGATTCTGAACCACTTACTTGGTCTGCCTGACTTTTCAAAGGGGTTAGGGTAAGTTTAGGGTTTGCAGCTGGTAGATTTCGGGTATGGGCCTTCTAGATTTTATTTAGGGTGTGTTTAAAGCTTGCAATTCATGGATTTAAGGTTCAGGGTGTGAAGCCAGGTTGAGGCGTAGCAGGTTTCTGGGGAGCGGTTTTGTGATCAGTGGTTGAAGGTCTGGGGTTGCAGCGTGATCCATCAGAGCGATAGCGACCGTGAAAATCATGAACGCAGAAGTAGACCTCCCATCACAGGATGGGAGTAAGGGCCTTATATGGTTTCAAGATCAGGGCTTCCCGCCATCATCCTGTAGGAGAAAGCTCAGACATAACCAGAAACAAGATAGGGTTTAGGATTCACCTCCGAAGACCCTATAGATTTTTACCGGAGCCCAGATGGGTTGCCATCTTTTGCCATGTTAGCTTGGGGATGGTAGCAGGGGTGAGGCGGACAAGGCCGTCTTCTACACGCGTTACTGGCAGTGGCAACGCAAGAGGAGTTTTGACTGGCAACGCTACTGAGACGAGTGATCAGGCAAAGAGGACTAACAAAAACCACTACTGGCATAACAATGCCTACACAAGGTAGATTCAAAGGATGGTGAGACTAAAGCAGCAGCATAGAAGCAACAATCGAAGCAACAGCCCTGCCTTACGTATGACTCACCACGCGTGCAATCCAGAGCGGTTGACCCTGCCAAGTAGACGGCGCTCTCCTTGGCTACTGGCCACTTGTCTTTGTTTGTGCGAATAACTGGCGTTTTGAACAATGTGGTAACATGGCTCGCAACAGTTAATCCACAAAAAAAAGAGAAACTTCGTCCCCCTAGTATAAGATGATCCCAACATATTATTATATACTGCTATGCTAAAATATGTTGGGAAAATTTAATATCAGAATATCAGGGGGAGAGCGGTAAACGTGGCCATGTTGTCCCCATTTGCTTTCCATTTGCTATCAAATGGCCCCGACAAAGCCCTCAAAAAAAAATCCATCCCCGCACCTGAGGAGTTCCTTTTCAAACGCCCTAGGCCCCTATGGAAAAAGGGCAATTAAGGGTTTCAGTTTAAGGGAAAATGTGCAGAAACCAGTAGCCGCAAACCCTTTGCGGTGCATCTTTAAGCCTGCTTCATCTACAAACCTGAAGCCCTTTTTTAACTCCAAATCTGTTTTTACAGCCAAGCTGCCCCGGGCACCAGGACGCAGTGGGCAGCTGCGCTCAACCGCCGGAGGAGCTCAGGACCGTCCTATCAAGGGATTTGCAACGGTCAGGGGATTTTGTAAATTCATAATGTTGATAGCTAAGAGTTAGAACTTATCTATAAGGATTACGTATACGGTATACTTAACAGATTTTCCTGACCCATCCAAGCCGGGTTTGGGGAGTTAGGTTCAGGCCTTCAAGCAAGTGCCGTATTTAAGGATGATTAAGGCTTGGGGATTGGGAGTCAGGGCTTGCGCTCTAGGAGTTTTGGCCTCGGGGGTTCGGAAGCTGGATAGAGCTTGGGGTGGCAGGTTTGCTGCTTCAGGATTTTAGAGGCTATAGGTTTTGAGCCAGGCATGGTGAGGATTTCCAGGTTTGGGCTTCAAGCGTAGGTTGGGAAGCGCTTGCGGAGTTGGTGGTTGCACTTTGCCTTTACTGGGTCCTCTCATTTCAACATCAGAAGGGGAGGAGGAGGCGGAGAGGTCAAGGCCAGAGCACCACACCCACGAATCACATGACACTGTTGATCATAAGCCTTTAATTAAGGGTTAAAACCACTGCCAGATCTACCTCACCACAGCACGAGCCCCTGATAGGCGTACTGCCCCAAGCCATCAAGCCCCGAATCTTAAACCTTGTTGTGTGAAGCCCCAACCTGAGTCCCTACACCCAGGCTACAGGCTTTTAGGTTTTGGGGTTTATAGTCCCCCTAGGTAGACAGAATATGGAATTGCCCCATGCCACAATAAGATCCCCATATACTTACATTCTATCGACTTCGGGGGGGACTGCAACCCCAAACTCCCATTTTTGAAGCAGTCTCTGAACTGCTGCAAGCTTCGCGCCTGTCCGGTCAAGGCCGTCATGTCCCCAGCCAAGGATGAAATTGCCAAGCCATCTGGTGCCTCCAGCTCCTTGTATCGGACCCCTTTTGGGTATAAGTTATATTAATCAGGGGTACCAAAATGGGACCGATTTTGGGAACCCCCAATGGGATTATAGGAGCTCTTTTGGTCTTTTGGGGGCTTACAAAAGGACTACTAGAGGGTCCCATTTCCATTTCTGCTGCTCAGTCAGTAAACGCATTGGGTCGAAGATGCTGTGAAGCTTCAGGCATATGAGAAGTGATGCGGAGGCAGGGCATACTCCAAATGATGAACCCCCTGGAAACTAACAAAATGGCTTGGGCAATCAATTGACCCAAACCTGGACATCTGTCCGACCAGGTAAAAGTTCAGGCTAAAAGATAGGTGACCAAGCTTCCAAAAGGGTGGACAAGTTGCAATTGGAGATTTGAGTTGTTGGGTCCAAGTGGTGAATGGGCGGCAGCGTTAAGCCCCAAACACTCAACCCCAAAGGATACCATCTCGCCACGGGTCCCCCGCTGCGAAGCTGCCGGGGTACTTGGCCTCTGCAGTTGCGAGTCTCCCGCGGCTGTAGAGGTTTAGGGGCTTAGGTGGTATCAGGGGTCAGTATTGCAAAAGAAGGACAAGATTTTGCTTGTGCTGTGGGGTTGGAGGCTTGGAAGGTTTGGCTTCGGAGCTAGTATCATGTTGTAAGAACCCTGGGAATGAGGGGCAGGTGTAATGTAGATTTTCAGAATCCTAAACCCTGAAACCTTCTCACCATTGCCTAAATTCTAGTCCTAAATCCCTAAACCCTGATCCCTAAACCCTACTCTCTATGCCCTCACCCCGAAACCCTAGTATCCTTGGGCTGCAGCCTCCAAGGTAGCTGCCAAGTGCAGTGTTGCTTCCCTCCTCTTCTCGGCCTGCTGCGTGGCTGGACTGCAAGCATTGAGGTAATTTTGGATTTGGGGTTTGCGGGCTATGCTTGAGAGATGAGGGTTTAGAGATTAGTCGTTAGGGACTACGGCTTAGGAATTTGAAGGTGGGATATTGGGTGGGTAACTCGCCTTGCAAATAAGGCCATGCAAGGCTTCCATGGGGAAACTACAGGTTTTGGGGGGAGGCGGAGTCGTGGGAATGTGTAACAGAGTTTAGGGCAGTAAGACTGTAGTAGCACACTTCTTGGGAAGAAGCGATTAAAGAACAGCAAGGGAAGTAGAAGCAGTATGAGCGGGAGCAAGAAGACCCGCATAGCTGCCAGTACTATTTAACATACTAACTAATGGCACAAGCGACCTTTTATACTCCTAACATCTCCTAGCAATGCCCAAGCCGAATGCCCCAAATTGCTTGCAGGGACGAAACGCGCCCCAGGGTTTGGGTATACGGCTATACAGGCTTTGATTCATGAGCAGTATTTCCCCAACCCGAAACCCTGATCTCGTTCACCGCAAAGCCCAGCTGCCTAACCCACCTGTGGGGAGAGAGGGGTCAATCAAAAGCTTTGGAGCTCTGAGTATTTTTCCGCTACTGGCCTCACCCTCGTCATTTTCAATATTACTTGGCAAAGCACTACTGTGGTTACAATTGCCCAAACCCTGAAGCCCCTCACTTACACATTATAAAACATCACAGATCCCTATAAACCTCAGCTGTGTCGTGTTTTTTTGGGTGGCTGAACCTAGTAAGATTGTATTCTTATATGAAATACTATACCCCAAAAGGAGGATGTAATCTTACTCTGTATTGCCAAATAAAATACTACTCAGTTAAACCCATCCCCAAGAGCTGACCAGCGGGGAGAGGATGATCAGCTCCTTTGCGGCAGCACGGATCGCTTGGCGCTCCTCAGCATTCATTGTTTTGGAGGGGCTGGGAAGCACACTTACTGGTTGTTAGTAGGGAATGAAGGCATGGATGGAAACCAATATTTATGATTTTTGGGGTTTAAGGCTGTTTAGGGGCTGGAAGAGGTATAAGGGG